TTGGTGGTGGTGGGGGTGCGGTGGGGAAACTTCCCCCAGAACCGTGTTCTCACTCTCAGCCCGGCCTGGACCCACCCTCAGCCCCGCGACACATTAAGTGGAGCGTCGTGCCCGGCAAGGGCTCGCAACTCACCTCTCTCTCCGACTTACCGCCCCTGGCGAAGTGTTTCGAGAACAAGTTGCCCCCCTTTCTCTCCTCGTCCTCCTCTGCCGGGAAAGGCGTTGGCGACACTGCCCGCGACTGTTGCGTCGCTCTCGACTCGGTTCGATCGTGGGAGATGGATTGTGGCGAGGATGCGACAGCAAAACCGACGGAGAAGGAAGAACACGACGCCGCTGAGCAGCTGCCCAGATGTACGATGCCTCCTATCGGACATGGCCTGAAGGTCCACAGCAAAGACACGCCCTCGGAGAGACTCAAAATCGACGACGGTGGATCGGACGCTGTTCCGTCGGAGGCGAATGTAGACGGAGCCACAGCGACGCGCCCATCTTTCAGCCCGATGTTAAGCCCTCTTCAAACCTGTCCGTCTTCCAAGCCGTGGCCGGAGATGAACGAAGCGGCGGCGGCGGCGGGGAGGAAGTCGGTGCCCCGCGGGGGTAGAAGGGCGTGTGGGGAGCTGATCTATGACACGATCGCCATCTCTCGCACGGCGCAGAACATCCCAGCACACTTCGCGGCCGGCGCTGGATCCGTCTCGGCGGAACACCGACACGCCTACTTCTTACCCAGCCTGGTCGTGGCGCCCCCTGGCGGCGACGACGACGTGAGGTACTCCCGGAGCAACGCCTGCTCCGACACGGAGTCCTACACGCGGTGCGGCGAGCACTCTACCCCGGCCACCACCTTACACCGAGCCTACTCCAGTAACGAGTCTCTGCTGTCGCTCAGCCATACAGCCTCCACCGGCGCCAACAAGGGCTCCCGGAGGGGAAAGGTCGTGGGGGTTGCGGGGTCAGGGGGGGTCAGAGGTGACGGGTCGTCGTTCCGGAGGTCCTTCCAGAGCCTGAAGCGACGTCATGAGATGTCCAGTGAGGACCCTTGGCTGCCCGGACTGACCACTCTCTACGCCCTGCCCGTCAAGAAGATGAGGATGAGCTCACAGGCTTCTGACGCCGACCTCAAGGTGTTTGTTGTTTGTGTTCACTCTTTGTCTCTGTCTGTCTGTCTGTCTGTCTGTCTGTCTGTCTGTCTGTCTGTCTGTCTGTCT